GGGGAGGGGCCGGGAGAGGAGGCCAGTGGTGGAGGTGAGGGGCCCAGAGAGAAGGCCAGTGCGGGAGAGGAGGGGCCGGGAGAGGAGGCCAGTGCTGGAGGTGAGGGGCCCAGAGAGGAGGCCAGTGCGGGAGGGGAGGGGCAGGGAGAGAAGGCCAGTGCGGGAGGGGAGGGGCCGGGAGAGGAGGCCAGTGTTGGAGGTGAGGAACAGGGAGAGAAGCCCAGTGTGGGAGGGGAGGGGCAGCAGTAGCTACAGGGTGGGGTGGGGAGGGCAGGAGGAGAGTGCCAGGTGTCCCTCAGACCCCCGTCCACTCCTAGGCCTTTGGAAATGCCAAGACCCTCCGAAACGATAACTCCAGCAGGTTCGGGAAGTACATGGATGTGCAGTTTGACTTCAAGGTACCATGGATGTGTGTGTCGAGAGGATTCCCATTCAGTAGGTTAAGCTCCTACTAGGTACCAGGGACTATTCCAGGTGCTGGAATTCCAGCAGTAAAACAAAGCAAACAAAACTCCTGCCTTGCAGGGTGATAAACAATAAACAGGGAAATTGAGGCTGTGGCAGAAAATACAACGCAGTAAGGGGTGGGGGGCAGGTGTGGTCGTATTAGGGTAGCCCTCACTGAGACAGTGGCATTTTAAAGTGACAGCTGGGTGGGGTGGCACATGTCAGTTGTCCCAGCTACTCTGGAGGCTGAAGCAGGAGGATCGCTTGAGGCCAGGAGTCCAGGGTTACCCTACGCTGTGATCACACCACTGTACTCCAGCGTGGGCGACGGAGTGAGACCCTGTCTCTAGAAAAAATAAAAAATAATGGCTTGATGGAGACGAAGAAGCAGGCTGTGCAGGTGCCTGTCCAAGCAGCGGGAAGGGCCAGGACAAAAGCCCTGAGATACGAGGGTCCTGGAAGTGTTCCAGGACAGCACGGAGGCCACAGTGGCCAGAGAAGAGAGCAGGGGCCTGAGAACAGAGAGAGGCCACGTGGTGCAGGCCCTTTTGGGTCATTGCAAGAACCTTTGTTTTGCTTTGTTTTGTTTTTCTGAGATGGAGTCTCACTCTGTCGCCCAGGCTGGAGTGCAGTGGCAGGATCTCAGCTCACTGCAAGCTCTGCCTCCCAGATTCACGCCATTCTCCTGCCTCAGCCTCCCGAGTAGCTGGGACTACAGGCGCCCGCCACCACACCTGGCTAATGTTTTGTATTTTTAGCAGACACAGGGTTTCACCATGTTAGCCAGGATGGTCTCGATCTCCTGACCTCGTGATCCACCCGTCTCAGCCTCCCAAAGTGCTGGGATTACAGGTGTGAGCCACCGCGCCTGGCCTTTTTTTTAAAACTCTGAGTAGAAGGGGAGTCATTGGGCTGGGTGAGGTGGCTCACGCCTGTAATCTTAGCACGTTGGGAGGCTGGGGCAGGTGGATCACGTGAGGTTGGGAGTTCAAGACCAGCCTGGCCAACATGGTGAAACCCCGTCTCTACTGAAAATACAAAAATTAGCCAGGCGTGGTGGCAGGCACCTGTTGTCCCAGCTACTCAGGAGGCTGAGGCAGGAGAAACACTTGAACCTGGGAGTCGGAGGTTGTAGTGAGCTGAGATCTCACCACTGCACTCCAGCCTAGCCCTGGGAGGTTGAGGCTATAGTGAAAAACTCCAGCCTGGGTGAAAGAGCAAGACCCTGTCTCCAAAAATAAAAAAAAGACTTTGGCTGCTTCACTGGGAGATTGGGAGTAGATGAATAGATGGTGGGGGAAACAGGCTAAGCAGGGAAACCGGTTAGGAGGCTGATGTCATCGTGTAGGTGACAGGTGACGGTGGCTCAGACCAGTGTGGTGCAGTGATTGGATTCTGGATGTTTTAAAAGTTAAGGCAGCAGGATCGGCTGCCTGATTGGATGTAGGGTATGGAAGAAAAACAGGCTTGCAGGAGGACTGCCAGGGCCTTGGCTTGAACGAGAAGGATGTACTCACCACTGACCACGATGGGCGGACACTAGCAGGAAGGAGCTCGTTTGAAGAGGGGGAAGGTCCGGTGTTCCGTTTCAGGCCTGCTGAATTTGCGATGCTTGTCAGGCATCCAGGTGGAGCCGCCAGGTGGATGGAGTTGAATCTCCCCACTTCCTAGATGAAGTAACTGAGTCCAGCGTGGGTGGCGTGCCTGAGCCCACACAGCTAGTGGCAGGGCTGGAATTGGCGCCCAGGTCTGGCTGCCCAAGCCCAGGAGTCAGAGGAGAAGACGGGCAGATGGCTCTGTTCCCACTCCCCCGACCAGGCCTATGCCCTGCCCTGCCCACAGGGTGCCCCCGTGGGTGGCCATATCCTCAGTTACCTCCTGGAAAAGTCACGAGTGGTGCACCAGAATCACGGGGAGCGGAACTTCCACGTCTTCTACCAGCTGCTGGAAGGCGGCGAGGAGGAGACTCTTCGCAGGCTGGGCTTGGAACGGAACCCCCAGAGCTACCTGTACCTGGTGAAGGTGAGTGGCTGGCAGGCAGGGCAGGTGCCACCCAGGGATCCGTGGCCAGGGCTCTAACCCAGCCGTGCCCTTCCTCTAGGGCCAGTGTGCCAAAGTCTCCTCCATCAACGACAAGAGTGACTGGAAGGTGGTCCGGAAGGCTCTGACGGTCATCGATTTCACTGAGGATGAAGTGGAGGTGAGGCCTCTTCC